GCCGCGGGCTGTCATTGCGCCTTCGGCCACCTCACGGCCTTCCAAGAGTTGGAGAACACCGAGAAGGTGTGCACAGACGCTGGCCTCCAGTACCCGCCCATCGTGCTCGAAGCACAAGGTGGGCATTCCCGTGCAGCAGCCTCCTTCATCCACAGGCTCGCTGACGCGGTCGCCTCGGCGGAGGGCGCTGACACCAATTGGATACGGACACGCCTTTTTGAGCAGCTTGCGGTTGCGATTGCACGCGCCAATGTCAGAGCCGTCCGGCGTAGGAGAGACGTCACGGGCTCGTCGGCCTCCCATCTTGCCGCCCGTGCGGACCTCGCCGTCAGCCCGTGAGTGGGAGCGGCATGGGTGATTAGTTCTTGACTGGCTGGGCTTGACGCCGCGGTGCTAGGTTGGAAGCAATTGTCAGCTGTACATGTTCCTCGTTTTATCGGCATCTCCTCCTTCCCTCTCGGAGAGGTCAGACCAATCCTCGGATCGTCGACTTTCCGGGGCTCCAGGGCAATTTTCGGTCACGTGGCCGAGTTAGCAATGTTGTCCTGAAGGGACTTGCGTCGCTCCAGCCCCGACGGGCTTTGCTCGGGCAGGGTGGCCGGAGGCCCATGGAGGCCCCAAGCTTGCTCCAGCTTTCGTTGAGCTCGGTTGGGGGGTTTTTAGTCCACAGGCCCCACGGTCAGCTAGTTCACGGTTGTCCTTACTGGGCACGAGGCGTGCTCGAAGTTCCTCATCCCAACCCGTTGCAAACCTGGCCTGGATGCACTCGACAGCGGAGCGCCGCAAGCGCGACGCGTGGCCCTAACTGAGCGCGGGAGGCCCCGTTGCACGCGGCCACGGGTTATCTGACAGCACGAGCCAACCAAGCGTGGCAATCGTGCCCCCAGATCGGCCCGCGCTACAGCGAGCTCGTGACCCTGCTGCGCGACGCACCACCAGGTATGCCCACAGTGCTCGATCGGACCTTGCTCGTGGTGGCCGAATGTTGAATGAAGCCCACGATGGCGGTCAGCACATCAGGACCTCACAACGGTGGCATCTTCAACGGCGCTGCCCGACGCACAGCTGCCACTGGCTGCCACTGGCGCCGGATGGCTACTTGACGGCAGCAGCGGAGCATGCTTTCTAGTCCACATGTGTCCAGGTCGGGGCACATGTGTTCTCCGAGCCCGCGGGGAGGCGGCTGTCGGTGAATTGCTGAGCCTTGCGAGCCTGTGCCAGGTGGTCTCCCGAGGGAGGCGCGTCGCCATCGCCCTGCTCCGCGATTAATGCGATTACAAGGGGGAGCTCCAGCAGTGAGGAGGCGTACGCGCGCTGCGCAGCCACCGCCAACAGTCCTATCCGTTTGTGGATGCTAGCTTGGCACGTGGCGGGTCTCAAGCGCGTGGGGGCCACACGAGCGCGGGCATCGGCGAGCAGACGGAGGCACGTGACCGTTTCCGCCGCCCGCCCACCTCCAGCCCAATGACGACCAGCTTGCAGCGGCGGGCTGCCAAGAGCTCCGGGTAGGTGTTTTGGCGCTTCCGCCGAGCCGCGGCCTCGCCTGGCTCGCGATCTGCCTTTGCTCGAGCCATGCCATCCCGTGAGATTCAGATAGATTCGGCTCACCTTCGTGGTGGCGACCAAGGCCATTTGCCAGTGCATCTGCTAGCGGTACATTAAGGTTCATGTCGCGGAGGAGGAAATTGTTGGCCACCCTGGCGCCTGCTTCGCGAGTGCGCCGCGCGGCCGCCCGCTCCAATGGCGCGCCGCGCGAGCCCAACACGCCTGCTATGGGGCAGGCCGTGCGATAGTCACCCCAGACGTCAAGGGCCCCGCCGCAATTGCAGCATCGCCAGAGGCGTCGGAGCAGCAGGATGCGCATACACTCACTTGGCATGCGCAACTCGGGTGCCGTGGGGCTCAGCGGGCACTGCCGTTAGCCAGGCCCCCGCATGCGGCCCAGCCTGCGAACGCAGAAGCGCAGAGGCTGCTGGCGGCAGGGATGGCAAGAGCACGCTGTGCCAACCTTCGGCCTGGAGGAGGCTGCGAGCGTCACCCGCGATTGGTAAGCTGGGCGCATTTCCACCTCCTGCGACCAAGCAGTCAACGCAGGAAGCGGCGAACTCAGGCACTCCGCCAGGGGCCGGTCCCCGCGCCACACGTCCGTGCCCTGCTCGGCCACTCTCGGTGGTGGCGGGGCCCCTACTGGGCTGTAGACACGGGTTTTGCCCACATTGGAAGCGATGCCGCACTCGTCTTCGATGTGGTGAACCACCACATCGCGGCACTCCCTGGCACGGTCCCAATTGGTGAATAAGAATGACGAGGAGGCTCTCGGAGGGTGCGAGGGCCGAGGCCGCGCTGCTCAAGGCACCATGCTGGCCGAGCGCGTGCAGGGCAGGGGCCACGGGTCTCCTTGTTCGCAGCCCTCGCCCTGCCAAACCTCTCTCCCACCATAGGTACGTGGATGTGTCGCCATACCACATGCGCACAAAAAGGAACCAGCTTCGGCACGCAGGAGTTCAGCGGACAAGAAAGCCGCCCGGGACATGCTGTCGTAAGCATTTCGCCCGTCCAGCGACACGACTACTGCATCCGGCCGCATATCGAGCGACGCGCGAACGTGAGCCGCCAAGGCATCAGTACCGGCCCGAGCCTTGAGCGCGAACTGGTATGGGCGTGTAGCTTCGAATGTGTCGGCCCAGCCTTGAGCCAGAGCGCCCGAGACTAGTCGACGGAAGACGTCGCCTGTTGCGATCCCGCGGGCCCCGCCTCCGGGCTTTTGAAGCGCGGTGACACGCGCCAATGCCAGGCCGCAAGGACCGAGTTGGACCTTGTGAGTGGGCGTCCGCGTCTGGGCTTGCGGAGCTGAGGCGGACGTTTGGCCGGATCGGTCAACGCGCGCCACGTGGCGTCGTCTCCCAGAAAAAAAGCTCCGCGGCCGTCAACATGTGCCCTGGACAACTCTCCACACGGACTCGAGCGCACGCCTGCGCAGGGCGGCTCTGCGCCACCATCCTCATCCTGCGCGGCCCGCAGCAAGCGCAGCCAGTCGCCTTGCTCAAAAGCCCCACCCCTCGCCAGCAGCAGGTCACGTCCCTGTGCTCCCCTCTCGTCCGGCCTAGCGAGCAGTATGCGAGGCGCCAGCAAAACAGTCGCCGGGCGCGGCAAGCAGGGAGTCCCGCGGGGTTGCTCGCTTCGCGGATGCGGGTGAGGGCAGCGACCAGCGCTCTTCGCACGGCAGCGCGCGTGAAGGGCGGCACATCTTGCAGAGTAGGCACGGGCCGGCGCAACTCCGTATTCAGGTCAACGCCATCCAATGTTGCCCAGGCCTCCTCGGGCAGCACGGCTACGTCTACGTGCTGCGAGTACTCCTCGTGCTCCTGGGTGGTGACGCCGGCTGGACTTTGGGCATCACCCGCTCGGCCGCGACGCCGTCCTCGCCCGCGGCCACAGCGGCCCCGGCCGCGGCTCGGGGCGGGGGACGGTGGCCCGTTGTTGCGGCCCAGAGCCGCGCGAAAATCCGCCGCCAGAGCTGGCGCCGTAGCAGCAACAACCACGCCCCCGTACTGTTCGAGGAACGCCGTTTGCGCCGCTGCTGTGAGGTAGCCGTCCGAGGCCTGGCAAAGCAGCACGGCCGAGGCCAGGGGGAGCGGCCCTGCTGGCAGCGCAAACAACCGGGCTGCCGCAGCATCCACGTCCTCCCGCCCGTCGCACGCGCCCGCCGTAACGGTTTGTAGTACAAGCTTCGTACTGGAATCGATCTTTCCGCGACCCGGCCGAATTTTCATTGCTTTGCAGTGCAAGCTTAGTACTGGAATCGACGTTCCTGCAACCCGGATTTTCATTGATATGTAGTCCAAGCTTAGTGCTGGAATCGACGTTGCCGTCACCAGGCTGGATTTTTTCATTGATTATCATTGATTTGTAGTACAAGCTTGGTACTGGAAGTGAAGTTTCCGTGAGCCGGTTCAACAACATTATCGTTTTTTCATTTCATCGGTTTCCAAGAAAAACCTCTATCCAACAGGGCCCCGCCAATGCATAACGAAGAGGCGCGGGGTTATTGCACAACCCCACTTTGCCTGCAGGCGGGGTGAGGGGGGGGGGGGCGGGAATGCGTTGTTGCTGGCAGGTGGGAAGGGGGCTGCGTTTTCCAGACCTCCTAAAACGCATTTTGCTGGCAGGCAGTTTGGGGGGTGGGGGGGTGGGGGCAGGCGGAATGCATTTTAAAAAGAGGGAATTTTCCAGAGCTTCCAAAACGTACTTAAATTTGCTTGCAGGCGGGAGTGAGGGAAAGCGTTTTCCGGGCCTTCCAAAACGCATGTTGCTGGCAGGTGGGAAGGGGGGGGGGGGGGGCGGGCTGCGTTTTCCAGGCCTCCTAAAACGCATTTGGCTGGCAGGCGAGAGTTTGGGGGCGGAGGGGCGGGGGGGGGGGGGGGGGCAGGCGGAATGCATTTTAGGGCGTCCAAAACGCACTTTGCTTGCAGGCGGGAGTGGGGCGGGAATGTGGGAAGGAGGGGGGGGGGCTTGCAGGCAGGGAACGGCGGAATGCATTTGGCTTGTAGGCGGGGAGAGGCGGTTGTTTGCGTAGAAGCTTTTCAACCGGCTTTGGCCCGGAAGGATTGTGCAATTACGTGGGGGGGGGGGGTGCTGGTTATAATTACGTTCTGGGATTTGGATTGTGCAATTACAGGGGGTTTATTAACATGAGGTCAACATTACTGGGGAGTTCAGAACTTCTTTTGTACATAGATGGTTGGAAACGCACAACCTTGAACTGCAGCCGGAGGAGTGAACGTGAAGGGGGCAGCCGAGCGGGACATGTAGGATTTTGTTTTGCAAATCGCTTCTGTAGCGACGGAGTGTGTGTGTGTGTGTGCTCGTTTAGCATGGCAGAGTTAGTTTGGATATTTGAATAGCATGCTCGTTTGCCTACCTGCTTGTTGAAGGACACTGCCACTGTTTGGTTCAGGCGTGTATCTAGCTGTGCCCTCCGCCGCTCACTTGTTTCTTCCATGGATCGACGTGGTCTGCGGCCGTTGCGAGCGCGAGCTGAAAAGGCGGAAAAGGGTTTTGATCACCGCGTCTCAGATCAAGTCCGGCTTCCACATGGTGTTTCTACATCCGTGTTATTTTGGTGAAGCGTGTCTTGGGAAGGATTCCCTGCAAAACCTCTGCAAGCAGCCACCTGCGAGGATGTTGATGCGTGTTATATTGCCACATGTCTTGCTGGGAGATGTGAGGGGTGTGCCGCTTGTGGAAATGGGTAGGACGGTTTGGCCTTGGCAAGATGACCTGCCTGAACCTTGGAATGCCCTTGATGTAGGTGGAGAAACGATGTGATGGACGACATTGCCAAAAGCAAAATATCCAACCGTAATTTTCTGAAGGTCTCAGGAGGGGCCTCGCCTGCGTGGGCAGCGACAGGCAAGTCGCAAAGTCAAATGGCCCTGAGCTTGGAAGATTAGTGGGCGGCACATGGAAGGGCCCTTAGTCCATCCACCAGGTGCTTGCCGGAAGTATGTGAAGACCCCATCCAGGCGTCAAGATCTGGTGCTTTGATTGCTTAAGCGCCCTGCTGTAGTCGTTTCGCGTTACCCATCGCTACCCTGTGTTTTGGGACGAAGGAGTCGCCAGCGAAGTGCCGGAAGATCGAGGACAATGGGCAACTCACAACGAACGTGTATTTAATGGGGTATGGCCAGACAGCCGCCTTGCCCGGTTCGAACATTGCAGGGATGCGCAGAACAAGTCAGAAGTGTATTCACTATATGTCTAAACACACCTTCCTTGCGAGATGTCGCCTGCCACGCGCTGTTAAAGTCGGAGCGCAGGAACCGGCGCAACCGATGGTGGCAATGAAGGCGAAAGAGGTCACCAGCCTGAGAAATCTGCACATCGCCAATCACGTTGTGGTATGCTGTGGCTGGCCAGATTGCTGGCCTGGATGCCAGGAAGTCATGCACGGAAGATTGCGCTGGGATGAGAAGGAGCGGGGGTAGTTGCAGCATGTTATCCGCTTCACTTTGTTGGTTGCAATTGTACTCTCAACAAACGTTCAAGCTCAACGTTGGAGGTTTCGCGCGTTTTGGAAGCAATGTTCTTGGGCCGGTTCAAGATCTCAACATGATTTAGAAAACATGGGTGCCAGGATCGAAGGTTCTTGTTCGCTTTCAAGCTTGCCGACGGCAAAAGCGTGAACTTTCAGACCACGTGCAAAGCCGTTTCTGGGATTGCAGTGAGCATGCATGGCATGTTGACGCCCCTTCGTGTGATGATAGCTTTAGAAGATTTTAGAAGTGCAGCGTGGCCAGCATCCAATGGCAGGCGTTTCGCTTTCGCTTTGCGGACGTAAGAAGGTAGCTGGAGCAGCAGTCATCAAGCACTTATAACACACTGATGATGCCTGGTGACCTTAGTGCATTGGATGCTGCGGCTGCAACCGTTGCTTTGGCATGTACGTTTGAACCTTGTTTGTCAATTGCATGTCTGTTTACAATGTCTCGTGGCAACAGCGCTTGAAACGAGGCAGGAAGCAAAGAAGCCGCCGAACGCATCTGTCGCCTTTGCCAGGAGAAGCTGGCTGGTTGCATGTGTCGGTGTTTCAATTTAATGGTGCTGAAGCTGTGTTCGACGGATGCCGTCGTGATCCGCAGGGTAAGCAGTAAGTTTGAGTGGCAGCTCTTGACGACCAAAATATGTGCAATTTGTACGTGTTCTTTGAGCTTGTCCTGAGGTGGTAACTTCCCATAAAACAGAGATGCTCAAGCCTTAGCAGCTTTAGGGCGCAAACCCCAAACCTGAAGAAGGAGACCTCTACATCCCCGAGCCTGACCTACTAGTTCTTCACCGGAAATGAGGGAATTACCTGACGTTACCCTTTTCCTGACCCTTAGGGGACCAGAAGGCCGATTTACAACATAGGCGGCTCGTTCATCTCCCTCAGTTTTGGTTCGCACCGCACGCACAGCAAAGGTTTCAGACTGGAGCCAGCAAGAGCGAAGCAGTGCCCCCAAAGGGCAGCAATGAAAGCGGTTTCAATCTTTGCCGTGGGCTCGTGCTGGACCATGCAATGAAGGGTTTAAGGCTTCGTGATTCTGATTCTATTCTATCGGTTCTATTCTATGCCCATGCATTCTTGTTTGGTATTCAGATTGCTGAAGCTTTGCCGAGCTGGATCCTTTGCAGACTGTTGAAGTCCAAGGTTTCTGCATACAGAGACGAGCTGTACAAGGCTTTGATGCTTTACTGTAGGTTGAAGCCGCGAATGCTTGCGCGCAGGCTGTCGAGCTGTAGGGTGCCCTATGGCAAAGCTGTCCCCCCCCCTCCACCGCAACCGAAAAGCAGGAAGCATGCAAAGCCGACACCCCGATCAAATTGGAGGCCCAAGCGGGATGTGGGGTTGAGCATCTATTTCTTTTGTTAGAACAAGTGCAGACCACGATCAGTGTCTCCTCATGCAAAGAGATGATATGAGGAGGCCTGGGTTGTGGCATGTGCATGCCGTGCATTTGCCAGGCTCAAGGTGAGAAGAACGAGGGTTGGCCAACGGAGGAGCCAACCAAGATCAAGGACCGATGTGACATGATACACATGACCCGTACACAGCTGCAGCTGCACAGGGTGTGTATCCTCGTGTGCGTGTGCATTTACGCAAAGGCATCTGCAGGCTTAGTGTGTGAAGCTCCTTTCGCGCACTGCGAGGACTGCAAGGGTTTGGGCGCGCACCTCTTCTGGTGCTTTGCCATGGAGGTGCTGGCAGGCTTGCTGTGCATATCTCTGCGTATTGCCCTTGTCGGTCCTCATGTCTGCTGCAAGTTTCGCTTGCAATCTCAGATCGCTAGACCTAGTGTATACCTGGTGCAAGTGGTGAGGCTCGACAGGTCCCCTCCCAGCACGGCGCTTGCAAGCCACGCTGCCCCGCAAGGTCCACTCAGGGCTGTGGTGGCTATACTTGGAGAACACTTGCGGTTTCTGGCTTGAGCATTGCTTCCCTTTTCCGCACTTGCGGTCGGAGTAGTCTCCTCACCCTCACTGAGTCGCGGGATTCACGGGTCTGGCGACAGGTCGTTTGGCGGGCCTTTCGGGGTGCCAAGCATGTCCTTGGAGCCAAGGCTGATTGGGAGGCCCTCTGTGAAGTTCGGGATGACTTGCATTGCTGTGGTGTTATAGTATCAAAGGATTTACTGTCCTGAGATCCTATAAAAAAATAGTACATATGAGAGGGCTGAGGGTTGAAAGGGGCCGCGGTGAAGTGAAGGGCTGCTGTCCCGGAGCTTCGCCGACGCGACTTTGGCCATGAGGGTTTTGAGTTTACACGTTTTCAGTGGTCGCGCTTCGGCATAAGGGGAAAGAGATTAGACATGCGATCGTTGGCTTCAAGCGCTTTCCAATCGACTTTGGAAAGAAGTGGCACGCTGCGCAAGCAACCCCAGCGGTCGCAAACCAGGGAGCAAGGTCAGGGAGAAGTGCGACAGGCGCATTGAAGTCGTGTTTTCGACCAACCCCGGCGGCCGCATCCAGGAAGCAAAGTTGGGTCACGGTAAAGATGTCACGATTTTGTGACCAGTTTCTAGTGCCAGCTACATGGGCTCCAGGTGCCATCTAACGATCATGCCGCTGCATGGGCATGGGCATGAATGCGCCGGTCATTGCCACGCAGTGGTAACATTGACATATATTGACATAATCATCGTAACATGGAGGTAATCATCATGAGGGCCTGGATGCGCTGCCCATTTCCGTCGTCATCGTGCGGGCATGGATGCTCTGGCGCGTGCATGCAGTGGTATCATGGACGTGCGCCTGAGCAAGCTAGGACGTTGCTTTTTGTGCCACAAGCCGAAGACAACAAGCTTCGAAAACCTTCATAGGTCAGGAATTCTTTGCACATGAAGTATCAATAAGAGTGAAGAAGAAAACCCACTACAGCAAGCCCTGCTGCTTTCTCTTTCCAGTAGTTGGTTCACTGCGCAGTTGCACTCCTGCTTAGATGTCCTTCAGGTTTCCCCTCCTCTGTATCTGCTCGAGCTGGAATAATCTCACGGGTTCAGGAAGATTCGGGTTTCGGAGATTAGCAGGTGTAAAGGCTTGAGGGCAAATTTGGCCCGGAGCCGCCAGAATGCCGTGTTTCTTTGATTCCGGAGACGAGGGATCAGGAAGTCCCGCGTTCCGATGGGGCAATCGGGTGTGCTCCTGAAACCAAGCGTTGAAGAGGCGCCGCTCTGTGAGGCTTTGACCGTCTTAGACTTGAAGTGCTTCTATCTTCAACGCTAATTTTCCTAACTGCCCTAATCCCTAAGTCTCCTATAAACCCCCTAAACCCTGAAATGCTTCTGCCAGGGCATCCGGGCAGTGTGGGCGACCCAATGGTGGGCACAGGCCGCACTTCCATTCTCGGTCTTTTCGGTCGTGTCGGATTCTGCACAGAGGGCTGCGCCCGAAACCCTAAACCCTGAACCCTAAACCCTAAACCCTAAACCCTAAACCCTAAACCCTAAATCCTAAACCCTAAACCCTAAACCCTAAACCCTAAGCCAAAAACCCTTTGCCAGTATGAGAGTCGAAACCCTAAACCCTAAACGCTAAACCCCCCCTAAACCCTCCTTTGCTTCAGGAGCATCTTCCGGGAGTCAAGCGGGCCTTGGCCTCGCGTGGCTCCAGGCTTCATCTGGCAGATGTAGTCGACAGCTCAGGAGCCTCGTGATGTCTCTGGAGTAGGAGTAGGGTTTAGGTTTAGGGTTTAGGGTTTAGCGTTTAGGGTTTAGGGTTTGGGGTTTAGGACTTAGGGCTTAGGGTTTTAGCAACCCAGGACCCCTGTTGAGGGTGCACACCTGCACCCTCAACCTCCGCCCTAGACGTTGGACCATTCATGCCGCGCGTCAGCGATGAAACCATGCTAAAATGTAAACACAATGGAATGAACACGATGGACATAAGACACAAACATGCAAAAGTATTATATAACAATATAGTACAAGTAGATTGAGGTCGCGCGTGTTAACCGCGCAGCAACGTCAGATAGTCAGGCTGACCTGCGAACTCTTCAAGGGAGCCTGCAAGGCAGAAAGCCAGACAGTCAGACGCTGAAGACTGTTAAGAAGTCTAATTCCAGAAAAACTTAACTCAGACCGTCACACGGTCAGACAATCAGGTTCATCCTACAAGTGCCGTAGAACTCTTGAAGTCCGGAATGCGCAGACCGCAAGAACAGACACGCAGATCGGAAAGTCTACATCCGAATTTCTGAGTGTCTGAATGCCTGTGCTTGCGCGCATTAACATCAGGCTGCCAGCCTGGCTCATCTCTGGGGTCAAGCCCCTTAGACATCCTCGAAGCACACCCGAAACTTTTCTTCAAGAGCTCTTCAAGCATACCAAATCCAACCCTGCAACTTCCCCATCTGACAGTCTGAGTACGTGACTGTCGGGCCATCTGACCGTCTGAGTGTCCGACCGTCTGACTGTCTGTTTTTCAGTTCGCGCCACATGTGCGTCTTGTTTCAGTCGAGAAAATATGAGCATCAAATTGTCATATGTGAATATAGAATGTATTATTTTGATCAGTTAATAGCCTAAGCTGATACTCTAATCAAATCTACTAAAAGAATGTTCTAATTGAATCACAAAAAAACACAATATTTAGTAGTAGAAGAAAATTAGAGGAATACAATAATAGTAGAAGAATAGAAGAACCGAAGAATAGAAGAATAGAAGAATAGAGAAATAGAAAAATAGAAGAATAGAAGGATAGAAGAATAGAAGAACAGAAGAACAGAAGAACAGAAGAACAGAAGAACAGAAGAACAGAAGAATTGAAGAATTGACGAATAGAAGAATCGAAGAATCGAAGAATCGAAGAATCGAAGAATCGAAGAGTCGAAGAATCGAAGAATCGAAGAATAGAAGAAGAATTGAAGAATCGAAGGTACAAGAATAGAAGAATTGAAGATCAGAAGTATAGAAAAAATAGAAGAACAGGAGAATAGAAGAACAGAGGAACAGAAGAACAGAAGAACAGAATATTCGAACAGGAGATTAGAAGAATAGAGGAATAGAGGAGCATAGCCATAGAATTTCCGAAAAGTCGAGTTGAATAGAAGAGGATACACTTGAATAGAAGAGTAGAAGAGTAGAAGAATAGAAGAATAGAAGAATAGAAGAATAGAAGAATAGAAGAATAGAAGAATAATAGAAGAATAGAAGAATAGAAGAATACAAGAATAGAAGAATAGAAGAATAGAAGAATAGAAGAATAGAAGAATAGAAGAATAATAGAAGAATAATAGAAGAATAGTAGAAGAAGAATAGAAGAAGAATAGAAGAAGAATAGAAGAAGAATAGAAGAAGAATAGAAGAAGAATAGAAGAAGAATAGAAGAAGAATAGAAGAAGAATAGAAGAAGAATAGAAGTAGAATAGAAGAGTAATAGAAGAAGAATTGAAGAATAATAGAAGCATCGAAGAATAGAAGAATAGAATTCTTGAAGAATAGAAGAATAGAGGAATAGAAGGATACCAGAGCAGAAAAAATAGAAGAGCAGAATAGAAAAGAGTGGAATATGCCCGAATAGGAGAATGAAGTGAAGAACGAAGAACGAAGAACGAAGAATGAAGAATGAAGAATGCAGAATGCAGAATGCAGAATGCAGAATGAAGAATGAAGAATGAAGAATGAAGAATGAAGAATGAGGAATGAACAATGAAGAATGAAGAATGACGAATGAAGAACGAAGAATGAAGAATGAAGAATGAAGAATGAAGAATGAAGAATGAAGAATGAAGAATGAAGAATGAAGAATGAAGAATGAAGAATGAAGAATGAATAATGAAAAATGAAGAACGAAGAATGAAGAATAGAAGAATAAGAAATGGAGGATGAAGAATGAAGAATGAAGAATGAAGAATTCAGAAAGAAGAATGAAGAATACATGAACAGAAGAATAGAATCATAGAATCATAAAGTAGCGCAAGAGTAGAAGAGTAGAACAATCGAATAATTGAAATGCTAATAGAGTAATAGAGTACTACGGTAATAGGGTAATAGAGTGATAGAGTAATAGAATACCAGAGCAATAGAGTCATAGAGCCATAGAGTAATTGAACAATTGAGCAATCGAGTAATATAACAATGGAAGAATAGAAAGACTAGAATCATGCCACAATACCACAAATTCAAAGAATAGACATATTACAATAACCGTAGAAAGACCGCGTCATATAGTAAACAGAGTATTATAATCAAATGACAATGCAATGACATGACCATACAATGATAGCTTGATATACTGATGATGTGATACCAGATTCCAGATGTTTTGAGAAAGACTTAATGTTGTATACTGATATCATGACACAAGAATCCCAGATAACACACTGAGATCACAATAAAGCATTCAAACGTCATAAGTTCACAGAAAAGTACAACAATCCGATAAACCCTAGGTCGTCTTGTAGGAAGAGCTCGCAGTTGCATCCTCAGGCCCAGCTCCTTGCCCAGTTCGAGGCCACGGTGAGAAAGGACGGTGATGTGCAATCTTCATTCCCTTGCATTACTGAGACTTCATAGGGGGTGGCTTGGATACTCGGGAGGCATGAACTGCGGTGCATGTGTCTTGTGCAGTCACTGAGATGCACCAGTGGAGATGCGAGTGCCAGGAGCGCTCTAGTCAGGCTCCGACTCAAGGCATCCAGCAGCTTGTGAACCTAAACGCCTCCCGAAACTGGGCAACAGGTTGCTTTGCGGTGCTTTGGTGCATTGTGCAGGCCAGATGTGGGCCCTGGCCGCACCTGGCGGCCAGGCAGACGCAACCCTCGCACCTGGGAACTTTGGGGGGTTCAGCGGTTGGAGGTCCAAGGCTTTGGAGTTTGGGAGGCAGTAGCGAAGGCAGGAGGCTGTCAAGTGCCTGCTCTGTCACCTGCAGTGTGCAGTGCATTGGCGTGTGCTAGATCGCTGCGGAGTGCAAGGCGAAGCCAGCAGCAACCGCTTCTGGGCATGCGGTGCCAGAGGCGGAGGCAGCAGTTCAACGGTTCGCATGACTGCTCATGTCTGGTACTTGTATGGATTTGTTTATCACGGGATGGTATTTTGCCTTGGCTGGTCCGCTTCTTTGCTTTCTTGTCAGACACAGCGTCCAGTTCCAGGCTGATACAAAAGTTGGTGCGACTGCAAAGAGTGCAGGCCGCCAGGCCTGGGCAGTCAGGTGTTTGCAGTTCAAAGCTTCGATATTGGGATTCCTCATGAAAGAAGCACTTGCTGACAACCTTCGTCACCGTTCGTTCGTCCATCACGGCTTGTTTTGCACGAAGGTGGTCGAAGACAAAGGCAAGAAGATCAAGGATAGGCGTGGCCAGGTGGCTCCCGCGTTGACAGTGGGTTGGAATGACTGACCTCTTTCTTGTGTGTTCGCCCTCTTTCCGTCTCAGCTTGTGCAGAGCCTAGTCATTACTTTGCTTTTTCCGAAGCGTTGACCCTATGCTTCGGGGATCTTCGCGGGACCTTGCGAAGTTTGGAGCTCTTGTCCGATGCTTTCTGGCAGAAAATGGGCAAAACGAGGCCCCAAGCCCTGCACTGTGGCCAAAGGGAGCCCGATAAAAAAGCCAACAAAGGCCGCAAAGAAAGGGCAGCCTCTAAACCTTAAACCCTAAACCCTAAACGCTAAACCCTAAACCCTAAAAGTGCTCCTCGCCGCAGGCTGCCGAGCCGCCGGCTGCCGAGGCCACGGAAAGCAAAGCAAAGCCTAAGGCCTGGAGATGAGGTTTCCATGTCTTCTTGGAGGGTCTCGAAACTCCTCAAGCCTAAAACCTAGGGATGTTCACCTTATACTAACAGTCCTTCATGGGATTATGATAGGGGGGATTACAATTATTAGTATGAGGAGGAACATCCCAACCTAAACCTCATGGGAGGCAGCCTTTTTCTGAGCTTGAGCCCCGGAACCTATGGAGGTTGAAGCGCTAAGCCTAAGCCCTGAAGCCTGCAAGCCGAAGAACCACAGACCCCCCCCCCCCCCCCAATTCCGAGAGGCATTGAAATCCGTGTAAGATCTACAACAACCTTTGAAAAAAAGATGCATCGTTTCAGGAAAATTGGAGAAAAAAAGGCGGAGTTCGCGCAGCAGTGCATGATCTCCCGTGAAACTTCAACCACACGCGTTTCTAGCTTAGTGCCAAACTGGAACCTTCGGTAATTTCACCATGGTTAAATGTATTTCAAACTGTTTTGTTAAATTTTTTCGCTCTCGGTGTTCCCTCAGCACTTTCCTCGCCTGTGTCTCCTGGACCCATCGGCCTCGGTCTTCCACTTTCAGAGATCCCTGCAGAGCATCCGGCAGAGCAGAATGACGCGCCTTGATTTACTGCGTGAACTGCCGTCGCCTTTTTCCCACGAGGGCCGCAGGCCGCCGCTGACTAGCTCCCAGGTCCTCGTGACCACCCTTTACCCAAAACCGGATGAAGTCTAGAGTTTCGAACGGATTCGGCGATTCGTAGCGATTAGGCGTACTCATTCCATGATTCCTGTTTGGCGTTTTGATGTTGTTTCTAGGCAGACTAGGCACCCCTGAAACTGAAGTGTTGCCGTGCAGTGTGGCCAGTCGGTGGGTCTCTCAAAAGACCCCTGCTACGGCAACATTCCCTCATTTTTTTTTCGTTTCGGACGTTTAAATGGCCGAGGGTTTGAGGTGACAGGCTCCAGCGAAGGCCGCGGCCACGGCGTTCATAGGGGCAGTGGTCCGTGTTTATCGGGGTTGGAGAGTTGTGCATGGGGTTGCTTGTACAAAGCTTTCCAACATGGAGCCGAATCTTCCACGGATCCCAAGTATTCCTAGCCAGGCGCCCAAGGAAGAACAGAAGGGCAAGGCGCCACCAGTTGCCATCTCTACCTGCAAGGATCGGGCCTGGTGATGTGGTGAATGATGGTGCCCGATGGTGCTTGTGATCTGTGGTATGTGCAAGCTCTCGAATTCTTGTTGGGGGTTAACACGGCCGCATAGGAAAGTGCAGGACCAAAGCAACTCACCACTCATCGTTCTTCTTGCTCGTCAGGCAGCCAAAGCTGCCCAGAGCAAGACAAAAGCCAAGGTCCGTCTGCCGCTTTGCATGTTTCTGTTGTTATTATGGTAACTATTACTTTATCTATGAGATTGCTCAACGTCAGTATGAAGGCATCTAGGATTAGGTGGAGGCCACCAGGACCGGGTCGACTCCCCGCTTCGTTCGGCCACAGGAAAGTGCTGACAAAGTCACTGTGCGCACTGGGAAGCGAGCTTCCGGCAAGGCCATAGCATCCCGTCCTTTATAGGTTTTTTTGTTCAGTGCCTGGCCAGTGCGTGGAGTCCACATGTCAAGGGGTCGTTCCAGGTGTTGACTGACTGTCTTGTTGTTCCAGGCTTCCACAAGCATCAAAGACGAAGATGAGCAGAACAACAAGGTGCCTACTTAACGTGTTTCGACCTACCCAATTGGCGCGAGGAATCCAATTGCTCAAGTCTGCGCACCGTTCGGCAATTTTGCCGAGTGGTTTCTTCTGCACAATGCTCCGCATGCGCTCAGCAGGTACCTGCTCTCTGTTGCAGTGCTGCATTGTTGGCCGCACTCTTTACCACGTGTTGGGGTACTTGGGAAACCTCCATCTTGGGGGTTCTGAATCTTCCGTGCCAAGCGTCAAACCAGGTGCCTCGCCTGCGCCAGAAGCCAGGAGCTTGGAGTGCTCCCAGGGCCCTAAATCCGGAACTCACAAGTTCTGCAAAACAACAAAGCCCGAAAAAATGCTCTTCAAGGGCTTAACGCCTTCTAAGAAGCCCTGGGGAGCCCCGAAACCCTGCCTGCCTTAAACCCTAAGCCCTAAGCCCTAAGCCCTAAACCCCAAGCCCGAAACCCTAAACCCGAAACCCTAAACCCTAAACCCTAAACCCTAAACCCTAGACCCTATGCAGGGGTGGGGGTTGCTTGGCTGGTTGCACTAGCGTGAAGCCTGCTGCCGCAGAGAGTGCTTGCAGAAACCCTAGACCCTAAACCCTAAACCCTAAACCCAAGAAAACCCTAAACCCTAAACCCAAACCCTAAGCCGCAGGCCCGAAGCTTCGGAGCCTCCTGCGGTGCGTTGCGGCGTCTGCGGCGTGGCCATGGAGAGCGCTGGGCCTGCCTGGGCCAAGTTGAGGGGTTCAGGTTTAGGGTTTAGGGTTTAGCGGGTTAGGGTTTAGGGTTTAGGGTTTATGGGGTAGGGTCGAGTCCCTCATGAAAACAGGGTGGTTCAGGGTGGTTTAGGGCAAAAAAGGGTGTTGGGGAGAGAGAGGGTTTTGGATTCAAGGATTTTAGGGAGGGGCTTGGAACAGGCCTGGATGCAAAAAGGGGGGGTTTGTGTTTGATTGCAAAAGGATGTGGCTAGCAATCTGCCGCAGTCGTTGTAGGGGTTGAGAGGATTGATTAAATTCGTGGCTTTGCGTCTGTGGGATCTCATGATGAAAGATCCCTTCCCAGCTTCATGAACTTCCCGACGCCCCAAGCCCGGATTTGGCAATGGACGGCCATGTGCTCGGCCCCTGTCACAGTTGTATCATGATTATGGGGGCAGGCGCGGTAGCAAGTGCGTGCGTGCCGGATCGTGGCTTCCATCCTGTTCTGATTGATATTGGGTGGGGCAGAGTGCTTCGTTTTCGCATTCAGAAGCCAATGAAAGTGTCGTTTACGCGGGAGAACATTTGAGGAAGTAGAGAAAGCAAAAGCTGTTTCCAATCCAGTTCCTTCCCGCCAGGTCTTGCCGCGACTGCACGTCCATGTTGTCCGAGAAGTCGCCTGGCCACAGCTGGGGGTCAGGATGGGGTACTGTGCCGCTTGTAGGAGGCCGGCTGCAAAAGCTACGACGACGGCTACTTCTACGAACCACAACGGCTATTGCGATCAAGAAGAACGCTAAGCACATGGATTTGTAATGCGCTTGCGAACACAAGCTGAACAACCACAGCAACAATTACGGCAAAAGCCAGAAGGACAATAATATCAACAATAGCAAAAAAAGGCTAATTATAGAAACAGCAACAAGAGCAACGACAGCAATAACAGTAACAGCAATAGCACAAGCAACAGCGATAACACCAAAAATGCTAAGAACAACCATATGCAACAAAGTGAATAACAAGACTCACAATCATAATGAAATTCATGACATTCGTAGCAAGAATAACAATAGGAACGACAAGAATAGCAATAATGATCAGCAATAGCAATAAGAACGCTAAGGCAATAAGAGTAAACATAATATTTATAACAGTAGTGATTATTTTCCAGAACAATGATAACACATACAGTAGCAAGAACAACGACAAGTGTGACAGTAAGAACAACAAGAACGACAATAATGACAATAAGAACAATATGACAATAGTGACAATAATGGAAACAAGCAAAAGAATAACAAAAAGAACAAGAACCAGCAACCAGAACCGTCATTGAAGTTGTAACAATCACACCGCTAATATGAATAAACGAAAGAATAGCAAGACAATACAGCATTGCTAGTTGTAGCAGAAGCAGCGGTATGGACAGCAATAACAATCTTTACAAGAACGACATTTCAGCAGTAAGGACAATAGTAACAGTAAGAACAATGTTAACAATCATTGCACAAATAACCATAAACAGCAATAGCAATAACGGCAAAAATGACAAGAATCCACGAGTACCAATCAGGACAATGATAACAATACTATCAAGAATGACAATACTAACACAAATAGCAAGAGGAACCAGAATGACAAGAAGGACAAAAGTGACAAGGACAAGAACAACAATACTTCTGCGGCTGGCGCATTCGGTGGCTCAGTGGGGTTGCTCGGTAGCTCACGTTACAGGTCGTTGAGGGAACGTTTCCTCAATCCGAGCCTCCGAACTGAGCCAGTGAACGCACCATCGAGCCACTGGATTGAGCTACCGAATGCGCAAGCCATCGAGCCACCGCCACGAATAGTCCCGCAATACCCCGCCCCATGCAGTCCACCCCACCCTACCCCCGGGTCCCTAGCAAGCCCATAGAAGTTCTCAGGGGGTAAATAGTTACAAAAATGACAGAATGAACAGTAATCCTCAAGAATCACAGTTACATCAGTAGTAGCACGAATCACAATAGCACCAACACATGGCAGCACTAACAATAACAATAGCACTGTCAACAAAAGCACCATGAGTGCAGCATAGTGCAGCCATAGCAAGAGTACCAAGGTTAGCACGAATGTCAACACAAAAGCTGCAACAACAGCAATAATAAAAAACAACACGGATAACAACAGTAGTACTATTACTAAGTTGGCGCGAGAATTAAAAATGAATAGCCATCATCAACACACGAAGAGCAACAAACGACTCGGAGGGTAGAAGTTCTCGCTCCAAGGTTTGCCCTGCGATACGTCGTCGGAGATCGGGTGTGGTGCTCCGGATATGGCCCACGCTGGCCAGCAAAAGTGGAGGTGATTGCGTTCGACAATGCCGAGGCAGCCATCGCTGTACAGCTTTCCATCGATGTCCCACATGACCCCAAAAAGAGATCCGAACCTCCTGCGGGACACCCGGAGGACACTGAGCCATATTGCGTGTCATTCTATGCAGAGAAGACCAGCGCCTGGGTGAGCGAGGCGCGGGGCGCCTCTTTGTCTGCTTTCAACGAAAGCCTCGTGCAGCAACTTGGTGTGCCCTGTGTCTGCCTTGAACGCCCCTGATAAGATCTGATGAACTAGAGGGGCTGGATGCTTGCGAATTCGTAGTTCACTCAGAGCGTCTCGGTTGATTCCGAGCACAACGAGCCCGAAGCCCAACATCTGGGTGCTTGGCGAGGCGAAGCTCATGCCGTGGGCGAGCACCAAGCCATCGCGGCCAGCAAAGCGCTGGCACCGCCGGTTCAATGCTGCCCTGGCTGCCGCAGAAGCTGACAGTGAACCCAGCGGAAAGTAGTGCAACTTGAGGTGTTCACAGGAAGTTCTGTGATCTCTATGTTCCGGCGCAGTTGCCCAGAAGTCTGCGCTGAGTCCCCCGAATTCGGTTTACAATTCAGACCTTGGACGCTGCCTCGTACGCAGAGGTAGTCTTGGGTTACGTCGCATGTTCGGAGCAGAGCTGCGGGCACAAGGAAAATTCAACCCATTCAGGGTGTCCATAAGAACGAGAAGAACGACGAAGGGTTACCTTCCTGCTTGGCAAGTAGCAGCTCTGAGAGTGCTTGGCGTGGTGTACAGCAAGCTTAGTAGGTGCATCGCACGAGGAACGCGGATGCCAGCAATGGCCGCAGGCTGGATGAGGACTCGAAGACGCATCGCGTGCGGCATCAGAAAGGCTTTTGGATTTCAATGTGCGCAGGTTGCTCCTTCGTGCTTGGGTCGTCGACGACACAACACCCCGGCAGTAGAACGACGGTCGCATATCGGCATCTCGCAAGGTCTATGGTTTAGGTTTTAGGGTTTACGGTCTACGGAGAGAGGGTTCAGGGATGTTCAGGGTACGCTCTCTCCTTTGGGGTACACTTACCTGATATCCTGCCGGATGCTGAAGCTTGCTTCGACATGTGTAGTCATAATAATCATGTATTCTCATGCCATGAAATCATAATAAGCGTAACAATATTCATCATAGCAGTAACCAGAAACAATCGTAATCGCAAGCAATATTCAGATATCATAAAGTCAGAGTGAGTGGCCAGTTTAGTGCAGCAGGGATGCTGTGCACACGGCGGCCCACATTGGGCCAGAGCATCTACTTCCAGCATTAGCTTCTCTCGAGTGAATCCACTGCATCGGTTTTGGATGTGCGCTGCACGTCGTTCCCGGCGCCGCAGCATTTGCCAGCGAGCAGGATTTGATGAAGACAAGTGAAGACCATGCAATATAGCAGGGCAGATTTCGCTAGCTAATGTCAAGTTGCATTTCTTGTGCAAGTGTGGGGGTCTTGTGAGTCAATCAGCTATCCTCAGCCCGGCAGCGCATCATGTCGGAAGTGGCAGCAACGGTGCGGAGGCTGCTGGCCGTATGCGGCTTTGCGTTTGGCCCCAGACTCCGAGCAGGGTTTCGGGCCTTGTGACGCTTTCGTATTTGCTGCCTATTTTGCTTCACAGTATTGTACGAGGTTTAGAGGACTAGACTAGACAAACTTTAGGGTTTCGAAGGGGTTTGCGGTGTCTTCTTCTCGTGAGGGGGGGGGATTCTCGCTCGGCTTGAGACGATGGTCCCATGCCCCTGTCGACTTTCCTGCAGAAGTGGCTAGGCCACTTCCCATTGGAGTTTCAGGGTCTTCTTGTGCATCCTGCATGAGTGTGGCACGAAGTTGCTCGCTCTCCTTCAAGGGTTTCGGGACACCTGCAAGTCTGATGTGAAAAGGGTCTAGAAGGTTTAGGATGTGCACGGAGTTCAGATGCGAAAAGGGTTTTAGGCAGATACCCTCAACCTTGGGCCCAACCGTCCAGCTCTGCGGGTGCCCAAAAGGGACACCCTAAGCCGACTAAACCCTAAGAATCGAAACGCCGAATGCTTGCTTGGAGGTTCATTTGGGCACTTGCAAGTAGGATCATGAGTATGGTAACTATCGCCACTGCCCAGAATAACCTTGTTTAGGGTACTTCTACCCCCCTACACCCTAAACCCTAAACCCTAAACCCTAAACCCTAAACCCTAAACCCTAAACCCTAAAAACCCGAAACTCTCAAGTTAACACGTCGCTGTGCCGAGATCGTGCTGGAGAAAGCCTGCGAAGCCAGCGGAGCGCAAAGGGCTTCGGGAACAAAGACATAGCGAGAGATCAGAAGAAGAATCGTGAAATAATAGTCGTAGTAATGTAAGAATAAGAGTATAAGGATCAGAATAGTAAGAGTAAGAATAATGAGCAGTATACGAGTAAGAAGCAGAGTAATAACAGAAGTAATCATGACCCATAATGCATTGTCAGTCTAGGTTTAGTACCCAGAATGCGTCTTCAGTTCAGGGCTCACAAGCTGGTTGGCGTTTCAGGCTCAGGTTCTGTGCAGGGTTTAGGGTTAAGGGCTTAGGGTTTCGGGTTTAGGGTTTAGGGTTTAGGCAGATCCCAGAAGTGTGCCAGATCGAAGCCATATAACAGAGCAGAGCCCAAACCCTTTGTTTAGGGTAAGCTGCGCCTAAACCCCACCTAGACCCTGAACCCTAAACCCTAAAGTCGAAACCCTAAACCCTAAACCCTGAATCCCTGCAGAGTTGTTCGTCCAGCTATGCGAGTGCCAAAAACCCTAGACCGCCTAAACTTAAAAGACTGCCAACAGGAGTGGGAGCCATCTTGCCACCACCCCTGGTAGGCGGAGCTCCCACGAGGGCTATCCAGTTTCTGGCAACGCGTTTCGGGATGGTGATGGCTCCGAAAGGGGTGGTGTCTGAAGGGTTTCGGGTCCGAAGGGTTACGGGAGGTTTGTGGAAATCACTTGCAGACTTCGGGGGCTTGCTTACGGAACCACAAAGCCATTTTTTCACCCTAGAACCTTAAGCCTTTCATCCAGGCCTCCGTGTAGGAGCCTCGGTGTAGGAGCGCGCGAAGATCGAGACTGTACACGTTGCAGTCCATGTATACACGTTTTCATGCTGAGAGTACATGTTGGCAGTGGAGGAATGTTTGGACTCTTCGGGTTCCTGCTGCTCCTTGAGAGCGCTGGCTATGGTCCGGGCCCCGCAGATTCTCACCTTCGCAGAACTTCCTGTTGGTTGGTAGGGAATGAGGGAATGAGGTACCCGATATCACCCTATATTAAGGGATTCTATAGGGTACCTCATTCCCTCATTCCCTACTAGCCAACAGTAAGAGAAGGGACACGCGTGCAGCTCGAAAGTAAGTACGCAGCACAGGCTGCCCCGTGGAAGTCGAGAGCTGTAAACATTAGTTTTGAACCTTGCTTCTGCTTGGTGTTCTCTGATTTTCCGAGGTGGGAACCACTGACATGGAAGCACAGCATTTTCCCCTGCCATTGTACGTTGCACTGGTTGTGGGTTTTCAGCATTTTGGGACATTTTTGGCCCCCAAATCCTATAAGCCCCTAAGCCCACATGTGGATTTGGTGCTCAAAGTAAGAAGAGACGAGGCCCAGCATGCAGTTGCTGATCTACTCACTTTGCGTGCGTTCCACCACAACAGACAGTGAACGAGATCTTTGAGCCTAAGCTCTAAACCCTAAACCCTAACCCTACACCCTACACCCTACACCCTACACCCTACACCCTACACCCTACACCCTACACCCTACACCTTACACCCTAAACCCTAAACCCTAAACTCTAAACCCTAAACCCTAAACCCTAAGCCCTAAACCCTGTGTCTTGCCATGGCTGCCGTTCTGAGGCTCGGTCTCCGACTTCATTTTCGAGCACGATCCTCAGGGATGGAGTTGCACCTGCGCCAGCCACCCCCAGGTGCGTCCCCGGAACTGCGGTGGCTTCTCAACCCTTAAACGCCCCAAACCCGAAACCCCCTAAACCCCCTGACGCCGCCCCTCCCCCACCCTAAACCTACTAAAAACCTAAACCCTAAACCCTAAAAACCCCTTGGGCCTGGGCCCTGATCCCTGCTCAGGTGCTCGGAGCCCGGCTTTAGGTTTCTTTTCAAGTGGGTCGAGATCTTAGCCCTTCTTGCAGAGCTGTGAACATGAGATTGCGTGTTGTCAGTTTTTTTGATGTTTTTTGTAGATGACCCCCTCTTTGAATGGAAGGATCCACTACAAACTCCCTGTCGTGTTCGACCTGCGGCTCTGCAGTTTCTTAGGCCCCGGTGTTCTTCACACCTTCTTTGGCCGAAGCCTCGGTTGAATCAAGGAGAGGTTTAGGGTTTAGGGTTTAGGGTTTAGGGTTTAGGGTTTTGGGTTTAGGGTTTAGGGTTTAGGGTTTTGAATGTAAGGAGAGCCGCAGTCTGCTCTGGGCGTTTCGCACAATGCAGTCGCTGAAACGCGTGTGGCGCAGGCAGCTGTTTGCTGCGTTGTTCGCTGCACATCTCTGCGCGGAAAGATGACGATGGTTACCATTAGACCAATTAATTATACTTATTCTACTTATCAGGCTCATCATACTTGTTATACTGATTCTTCTTATCATTCTTATTAGGCTTATTAGGCTTATTGTACTTATTCTACTTATTCTACTCATTATCCTGGGATGATGGAAGTATTGTCCTAAGAGCCCAGAGATGCGACCTTCGAGGTGAAGCTGCCGCTTGTGGAGGACGCGCTACTTTTTGAACACGCGTTTGTCGCTTCCGGGGCAACAGAGAGAACGAAGAAGGTTCGGTTGCAATGTTCCAGGATCCTGACTGGAAGCACAAGCAGCCTGCATTCGGCTGACGCGCACTGACCAGGAGCCCATTTCGGGTTTGGAGCTTCTTTGCCCCGAGCTCAGGCACTGGAGTTTGTTCATGCTTTCAGGGCTTTTCAATGGCCAGACTCTTCCCCCACCTTCCCCTACCTTGCCCCACCTTCCCCCTAACCTGTTTCTTCCGAGGCGTCGTCATCTTCCTCGTTGCAGGGGGCGCGTTTCAGATGGGCCTAGACACCCTCTCAGCGGGTTTATGCTGCTGAAGCAAGCACAGAGGGGTGTGCATGTGCCGGGGAGTGTGGTGCGGGGCTTTTCTTGAGATCTCCTGGTCTGATCTGACCAAAGGAGCGTGCTGCGTGCACACTTGCGAAGAGCCTCTTGACGGTTCCGAGGTCGCCACCGTGGCCAAGTTCCTTGCCGAGCAGGTGTCTGTCAAAAAGAAGGCCGTCCAAGCCGTGTAGCGCAGGAGCCAAAGCAGAATCCAAGATTTTCACCCAACATTTTTTAAATTCCAATGCAAGCTACCCAGAATACCCATTCTTGTTAAAGAGGCCCCAGAGTGGCTTGTGGGGCCCCTTCAAGGGCGCCCCTTCTCTGCATCTGATCAGGTGGAGCCGATGGATGCCCTCGGCTGAGACTTCGGGAGGG